AATGCCCACGGAGCGTGATTTGAAGTTGTTTTTCTTGCGAGAAATCATATATGTCGCTAAGTTCGTTTTGTAGCGAGAAATTTGAATCTTAGTATTTATAGTCGGATCTTATATTTAAAATCGTCTTAAGTTCATCTTCAGATGCTGTATGTTTCATTGGCTATAGAGTATCTGAAGGTGAAGACTCAAGACGGTGTTAAATATAAAACCTGACTATGAATACCGGTCTTAGTGTGCTCCATTGCGAGCTTGATCATTAGCTTTTTCAGATTTTGCTAGAATCTTAGTACGGTTCGTCTGTACTAGGATAGACAATCAGATAGATTAAATATCAGCTGATGTCAGTCATATACAACTTTGTGACATTTTTACAAAGATGAACTGTGAACTATCGCTGAATTGTGAACTATCAAATATAGTATAATTGTATGATATATGATTGACGTTAGCTGACATTTAGTTTATCTGATTGGACGAACAGATTAGAATCCTAATAAGATGTTTGGAAAATAACACCGAATTTGTCTTGAAAAACTAATCAACTCAAACTCGCAATGGAATACACCAAAAGTCAAATTTCTTGCTACTGGGTGAACTTAGCGGCATGTATGGCTTCTTGCAAGAAAAACAACTTGAAATCACGCTCCATGGACATTGGGCTTAATATTCTACGGATAAAACTCAAATCTTCTTAGGCATTGAGGTTCATTTGTCTAACACGGATTTCTTTATCGCTTTTTTAAGCAACATCAAAGTATACTCTTTGTTCTACATAGTCTCGTTAGATTCGTCAACATTATCATTATTTAGTACCTGCCGCTACTCAACAATATTTTTCTTGTTTAATACTTATGATTACTTAACTTTGATACTGGTAATTGGATAAATGCACAAGCGCCTATTAACCAGAAATACAGAAGAAGAGAAAGAAGAAATGTAAATGCAACGAGGCGTGGGAATTTAGAACTGCATCTTGTACAAGTAACGACAGGAACCTCCGTCGTTGAATTAGAGTCTCTACATTCTTGCTCTTTTATTTTCTGTTATAATGGCATGCGTGGACAATCCGGCGTGTTTGAGTCTGACCCATATCGACGTAATCTACCTAATTAGACCTAATCAGAACGTCGTTTTACTCCTACCTATTGCACAGCGTACCTTGGCACAGGCTGACTTATCTGGACTGCGGTCCTGACACACTTCCGGCGTGCTTGCGATACTCACATCTGAGAACGAGCGAGCGAGCACGTAACGAAATCTCGTGCGAACCGCGGGTGAATTTACGCGGCCGACGAATAGTCGGAGTGAAAACGGCGATTGCCATAAATTTCTCATGTACACGCGTGTGCGTGGGCGCGCACGCACTACGCGCGCATCCACCACGCGCGCGGGACGCCACGCCCCTGTTACAGGACGCTCATAATCTATCCGGGGGTTGGCGGTTGGTACCGATATCATCGCGTAACGTACACTTGTAAAGCCTCGTAATACGACCGGCGGCCGTACGGGGCGAAGACCGCGCCGAGTCGCGCGTATCTCGTTTGTAATTAGCGCTTCACACACGCGAGGCGAGCGAGTGTGCGAGCGACGCGCGCGCATGCCTGGGTGTGGGTGCACTTCGTACGCATTCGCACGTTAAACGCGCACGTAATACGGTAATATTTGTGCGCTCGACGCAATTAAACGGCCGCGCACCGGTTCGGTTCTCACGAGACTGCTCTCTGTCTCCCCCCTCCCCTCTTCTGTCCCTCTCTCTCTCACACTTACTCTCTTTTTCCCTTTGCTCTTTCTCTTTCTGTCCGCACCCCCGCGCGATATTCGCGACCGCCGATCGCGAGAAAGAGAGAGAAAGAGAGAATCGAGCCGCGTGCGTGCATTGAAATATCGAGCGAAACGATCGCGCTCTCGGCCGAGTGTCGATTATTACTCGAGGAAAGGCAACCTTCGGCGAGTTTGCGGGTGGTCGCGAACATGACGTACGACGCGATAATTCTTCCGTTGCTCTCGAAGGGAGTTGGTGCGATTTTGACATTTCTGGCTCGGAGATTTATACTTGAGTAATTTTTCTCTCGCTAATTACTCTTCTGCCTCGTCATTAGCGACAGTAATGACGTGCCTTATTTTAAACATAAAAAGCTGTTCGTTTTGTTTCTTCATCGATGAGTTGTTGAGTGTTCAGATGTTTCGTGTTTCGCCAATTTCTCGAGTGAGGAAGGATTACTGTGCGTCTCATAATTACCGTCACCGATTTCTCGGGAATCTATTATATTCGAGTAATTGTCACCTGTTCGCGACTTGTCATGATCGACTGTTATCTTGCAAGGAAGCTTTGGAAATCGTTTACTTCTGAAGAATCAGGACACTGCAGAAATAAAGTATACATGAAGTTAATGACATAGCTACTTTCTCTATCTGTGTTTTGACAAAAAAGACAGAACAATACTGGGAGTGAAAGTAGCTCTTTAAATGAAACATGTTTTTGTTGCCTCTGAAATTTCTCTCATAAGAGATGTTGAAAAATACAAAATACAAAGTTTAGTAGTATTTTATATTTTATAACATTGTTAATTACTTATCACATTGTTAATAAGAAATTTAAAAAAAATTTGAGAAAGATGTTTTTAATGTTTCTCCTCCACCACTTGTTACTTTAAACGTTATCATCATTGTTATAAAACATTAAATTTGTTAACATTATTTAATATTTTTTATATTTTCAGAGATATTTGCAAAAATATAAAAAAATTATACCTTTTTGTATGAGTATTTTCATTTCTCTAATAGTTTTTTTTAGCCGTAACAGAAATTAGTTGTATTATTACAGAAGGTTTATATGTACCTTATTTCTGAAAGTTTAAGATTTTAAACAATTTTGCAATTGTCGAATTTTCTTTCTGTCATCTGTTCCAGAATATTCGATCAAACTGTGTCCATGATAAATTCTCAAACAAAAGGCGTTTAGGATGATCATATATTGAAAGAAATATTTCATAAAATGGAAAAAATATATTTCTTTATATCGAATTTGCTGATCGAAATAAATATTTATTTCGTTTAAAAAAATATTTTGTAATATGAAATAATTTACGAATTGAATCAAATAATAATAACTATTACGTGAAATCAAATATGAAATTTTTTAAACCAATGAAATATGTATTTAAAAATAAAAAAAATATATATTACAATTTAATAAACTGGTTTTTATTAAATAAACAATTGAAAATAATGAAATTTCTTTTTAATTTTAAATAAATTTGCTTGTTTACATATAATGTATGAATTGGTTGATATTGTTTATTAATAATAAAAGAATATATTATTGAAAGTACAGTTACAACATAAGGAATTGTTTATTAATAATAAAAAGTTATATTGTTCAAAGTACAGTTACAATATAAGGAAGGTATGTATTCAACAAATTTGATATAAAAAATATATATATATTTTTTATATTACGAAATTTTTCTTTAGAAAAATTGATAGGGGATAGAGGTTTACGTACAAATCGTAAAAATGATCATTGTATGAAAGAATATTTAAATTAAGTCATTTTATTAAATTATATCAAAAAATTACATTACTATGTTAATTATAACACATATTGACAAAATATAAGATTTTTATATCGATCGAAGAAGTGATGCAGTGTCTAAAGCAACAGACTCATAATCCAGAGATGCCTCCAGGGTTCATGTTCGAGTTCCACCAGTGAAAATTTTTAAATGTGATGTAATGTTGGAATCAAGTAATCTAAAGTTTTCAAATAAAATCAGCAAACATATATCTTAGGAATACTTTAAGAATTCATTGTGCTATCTTGAGTATGTTATTAGTCTAAAATACTTGTTATTTGAGATAAGAAAATAATTTTTTTTCTTAAAAAAAATACTTGTTTTGCTTAAAAAAATATTTTATTTTTTAAAGAAATTATTTATTATTATTAAAATTACAATATTTTGATTTAAAAAAAAGATTTCTTTAAATTAAAACCTAAAAATTTTTAAATTAAATATTAAAAGATATTGAATTAAGTAAATATTTCTTTACATAAAAAATTTGTTACTTTTAACAAAAATTTATTTTTGTCTTTATAATGCATATTTTATTTAAATATATTTAATATTACATTGAAATAAATATTTAATAAAACGTATTGAAAAAAATTGTTTTTTTAACAGTAAGATTTTAAAAAGGCATATAAGGAGCAAGCACGGATGTCTTAGTGCTATTAAATACTGATATTACTTTTTAATATTAATATAGTGGAAGGATATTGTTTTTTTAATTCAAATAATATTTTTTTAAAATCACTATATTTTTCTTTCAATGTGTAAATACTAACGATATTCTTATCGATTTCCTGAAAATATCCTGACGTAAAATGTTTAAGTTTTTCCATTGATTATCTACAAGCAGTGGGGTACGGAAAATAGATATTCGAAACATAAATATTTCTTCGTATTCGTTGTTCCGTTCAGCGTCGTTCGCTCCCCTTTTGTCGACGTTAGACTAAACGCTAAATGCTGATATTAGCTGTTATATACAAGGACGAATATCAAGTTGCTGCTTTCATACTTGCTTCTTCTCGTCTCTCTTTCTGTACTATCGCTGCTTACATTTTTTCCGTCCGTGACGGAACATAAAGGCCTATTTAGACTGCATAATTGTTCAGTCCAATATTTTGGACGTTCTCTCAGAATTATATCTTTCAAACTTTAGGAATCATTCACGCGCACAATATAACATTCTGGTCACAAGTTAATACAGTTTACAAGTCAATACTGTTGCCAAATCATGAATTTGCCGTGTTCGTTGAAGTTTATACAGGGTGTTTCAGATTCTTCTCCATAATTTTTGTGGGAATGTAGCACGGATTGAAGTGATCATAAAAGTCCCATATCGTTTTGCGATATTCGCAATAAATCTCGAGATATTAATTATAGAAGATTGGTGAATAAACACGCGCAATTTGGTAGATGAGCTATAGTGGCGCCGTCTGCCGTATACTTATACATTAAGTCAAAGTGAACAAAATGTCCTCTACCATTTTGTAAATAACTACATAGATTTTTAGATATTAATTAAAAAAGATCTGTGCATTATTGTGTACAATCATGTATAACAATTTTCTTTTATTAATAACTAAAAATTCACGCGCGCGTAATTATTTGCAAAATGATAAAGGGAATTTTTGTTAAATTTGACCTAATAGAAGCATGTAACAACATACATCGCTACTATTGATTTACCATATCGCGCGTGATTATTCACTAATCTTTCTTATAATTAATATCTTGACTATTATTGCGAATATCGCAAAACGATATAGGACTCTTATGTTCACTTTAGCCCGTTCTATATTCCTACAAAAAATTGCGGAGGAAAGTATGGGATACTTTGTATTAAAGTGACTTTGAATTTACGAAAATATGTGAGAGTGTGCACTGCAAAAAAATACAGCGCATTACATAAGTAATAATTGCAAAATTGCACAATTAATAGGTGGAAATTTACTAAAAATTAGCAAATTTTCGCTATTTGTTGCGTAATTGTACACTTGTTATTTATGTAAATTTACATACTTTACACAGCGTGTTTCAATAAAACAGAAAATTAAAATTATACATTCGAGCTTTTATTTGCAGCAGCTCGAATATGGTGCAGTCTAAACGGGCTTTAAGGCACGTTAGTTATGTCGCGACGGTGCTGACAACGCACGACGGCGACGACAGCGACGTTAGCGACTTGAAACCAAAGACTATCTTAAAAAATGACTCAACGCGAACGAAATTCGTCGAGCGCATTCAATCGGCTTCTTCAGTTCGTCTTCTCGTCCCGAGCCAAGAGGTTCGTTTGTGTCTCGATGAGCTCTCTTCACTTCGCACGCCGCAACACTCCGTCATCGATCGCGTCGATGATCGTGATGGTGATTATCTCGCACATCTTATCAAGCCGCGATCTCGTGGATTACTTCGTGACGTGAGGAATTCTTCTTTAGATTCCAGGTATCTGTTTTTCCACCCCGGGAAGGAGACCTTGAATCTCTCGCGATCGGATAATTATTAATTCGATTTTTCTGTTTTTCTTTTAATTGACCGTCGACAGGCTCGCGCTTCGTTATTGGCAACGATCGGCTGACCAGTGACGCTGAGTGCGACGATGAAAATGCCGATCCCGTGGTTTCCACGTCCGCAGGTGTCGTCTCTTCGTCGCCGTCCAGTCGGGAGAAGTCGCTTGCGCGATCGATCGGACAGGTTTCTAAAAGGAAACCATTTGTCGCGACGACGGATGGGGCGAGACATGTTTGCGAGTATTCGGAAATATGGGACATCCTCCGGGAGATATCGTGTACCTTGGTAAATCTTTCAAGAACGTAACTAGGATCTTTCTTTCTTTTTACGAGCGGTTTAAATATACATTCACGTTCCTCGAATTGGTTAAATACTTGAGTCGAAATTTTAACCCCACTTTCGAGCTGTACTTTCTAACATTTGAATAGTTTGAAGATTAATGTACGCGTCTAATGAACGTGGGAACTAAAGTTCTACACACAAATCTTGAAAATTTATTTGTAAGATATAACGTCATTCACGGAAAAATAAACTTTATTTCCATAAATACATTCTCAGATATTTTTTTCAGTGTACTTGGCTCTAAATGGCAGAAAATACTCACTTGTAAATCTTAAGAGGGACCTCTCGACAAAGTTGATTGATTAAATAGAGTTTCATGTAGACTTCAAAGTATAAAGTTGACGTGGAAAAGTGGAATATTGAGGTCGCAAGTAGGACCTAAATTTTGACTCGGGTAGCTTTTGGTTGATTTTCATCAAATTCTTTATTATCTTCTCTGTCTGATCTGATGCTTTTCTCATCGAGCTGTTTCCGAAACATTGATTAATCGCTTGTACGAGCTTCACAAACCTAATAATACTTCCGATATCCCTACTCGCCCTTATTTCACTTCGTCATTCTGCCATTAGAAAAATCCACAGCTTCGATCTCAGGCCACTCGCATGACTCTTAAAACTAACGCGAGATATAGGGGGATAATTAGATGTCGGAATTCATCAAGTGTAGCGGTTCATTTTATGCTGCGAGCGATAATTGCCTCCGTAGGTAATCGCGCAGTACTTCTATTCATTAAAATTCTTACGTAAATATAGGACAGAGGCTGAAGATGGAACTGCGGTTTTACGAAAAGTAATGTCCATTCGCGATTTGCCGTGTTTTTGTAACTTAACTCGTCATTAAAAAGGTCAAATTTAGTGGGTTTCTTTCTTATTTTTGTTACATTTTTATAACCTTCTCAAATCTTATAATTTCTCATAATTCTGCGAAATATTGGGATTTAATAGCAGCTAACAGAAGCAAATTCTGAAGATATTAGAAAGATTTAAAGAGAATAGAAAATGGAAAGAGATGGAATTGGGTGGATTTCTTTCTTATTTTTTTTGTTGTATTTTTATATTGTAGAAAAAATTTTGAAGATATATTATAAAGATTTAAAGAGAACAAAAAAGAAAAATGGAATGATGGAATTTGATGGATTACTTTCTTATTTTTATTTTTCAAACCTTATAATCTCTCTCATGATTTTGTAGAATAGTGGGATTTAACAGCTAACAAAAACAAATACTAAAAACAAGTACTGAAGATATTACAAAGATTTTAAGAAAATGGAATGCGTGGGATCTCTCAGACTCCACCTTTCCGATGAGAGGTTAGCTATAAAACGGATTCCCCCTTCCTTCCTTCTTTTGTTTTTAGTAATCCGGAAAGACATCAGGCTCTCGATATTACGATTGATAACCATACGAGGAGGCAACAGAGGGTGGTCTCGCGGCAAATTGTCCATGCAAGTCGCATCTATATGTTGGGAGAGTTAGTAATACGCGCGTTCAGCCATATTTAATGGCGATAACGGCTTCGCTAACTACCGATCCGGCGATTCTATTTCCTTCGGGCTGCGCGGTGGAATGATCCATGGATCGAATCGCGGCGCTCTGCTTCCACGTCCTGAGGTCTCCTCGTAGGGTCTCTTTTTATGAGCATTTACGTCCGTGTCGGTTATTGTGGTTTCCATTCGTTTCACTCGACGGGTTTTTGTCGTTTGCATACATTTATCGGTAACAGAAGTGGAAAATAAATTATTAATTGAAAATCATATTCCAACGAATGGTTTCACAATATAATGGAGTTGTGGATATCGGCGGAAATAATGGCAAAATTTATCGGGCGATATATTTCGCGCGGTATATTCTCACTAATATTTTATAAAATATTCGGTATTGCGTCGTGACTAAAGAACAACCAGCGCGCAAATTCTCCATTTTCTTTCGTCGCATCTCTTTCCGATATTGTCGCGAAGGTGAACGAACGAGATAGCTTCTAAGAAGCCGATCGGATCGTGATTGAACATCGTATCGTAAGAAACGGGTATCGTAGTCGTGCCGCGATAATACCGGGCAAAAATGTCGCGACGAAAAGCGAGAAACCGAGCGAAGCGGAACAATGTCGTTTGTTAGCTCGGTATTTTTTAATTGTCTCGCATATCTTGGAAGAAGATTCATCGATTTCTGTAAGTCTTCCTCCTCTTTTGTCATCTTTACTCCTGTATATATTCTATATATACATATACTATATCCTGTATATCCTGTATAAATTATATCCTGTATATACATGATATAGTGATGTTACAACATTTTAGCTCGATAAGCGAAATTTAAGGTAGAAAAGTAACATTCCGTGACGTTTCCTTAAGTCTTTGTATTATTCGGCATCACGCCTGACAAGTAAGCTCTCGCGCTTTGCTCTGATCTGTTTTTATCTTATTTTATTTCTTTTTTCTTTGAAAAAAACTTTGTTTTATATCTTTTGTTAATTTTTTATTTCTCGATGTATGGAAAAAGATTTATTTTATTTATTTTTTCTCTGGATTTCTAGTCAGTGTTAGCAGAAAAATTCACTTGTACTGAGTGTTGAACTACAATACAGCAGATTGCTGCTAAGCACAAATATAAATATACGTAGCCTCTTGCATGAAGTATGCGATATGTTGGTCGTAAAGACGCTGTAACGAATCATTAATTGTAATGAATCTGCTAAAATTGTATCGAAACTGGCAACGCTGTTTTTTACCTGTTGATAACTCCTTAACGCACAACAAAATCGCAAAAATAAATCATTTTTATCTATTGAAATTAATAATTTAATATAATTACGTATAATAATTTTATTTTTAGAGATAAAAATATAAATATTAAGTCAAGAACAACATTTTAATTACAGAATACACAAAGAAATATAATACAAAAATTAACTCTATAATAAATAATACTAATAATAATAATAATAGTTTTCCGAGTGTGTATGTATATATTATATACAGACATCTTACTACATGCACAAAGTACATATATATGCGCGGGGGAGGGGCTCCGTCCCTCTCCCCGCACTCCCTCCCCAAAATACCAAACCCTAATCTAAACTATCTAATGCAATATTCTAAACCGTACATTATGGGTTTGTTTAGGGTTAGTTTTTTGGGGAGGGGGTGCGGGGGGAAGGGCGGAGTCCCTCTCCCGCGTATATACGTGTACTTTGTGCATGCAGTAAGATGTCTGTATACAGCGTCTGACTCGTACCGTACCAGAGTTAATATGTAGCTAGAATAGGTCGGGGTAAGTAATGGAATCGGTGTCTTCTTTTAAACAACCACATAAAATTTTGAGTTATTAAATAAAATAGATGGGCTAATCAGAGCGCGGCGAAGTGGCAGGTGGGACATATGGCTCGCCGCGGCCGGCGAAGAAAATGTACAATTATTCGCGAACCTATCTTATAGGCCAGAGAGGTAGGCCGTTTGGTAGCAGCTATCAAGTGAGATAGGCCTGCGAGCAATCATCCATTTTCTTCACTGGTTGCTAGCCGTATTTCTCGCCTGCCGCATCACGCACTCTGATTAGCCCATTTACTTTATTTAATAACTTGAAATTTTACATGGTTGTTTAAAAAAAGACACCGATTCCATTATTCACCCCAACCTATTCTAGCTATATATTAGCTCTGGTACGGTAACATACCTGATACGAGTCAGACACCGTGTATAATATATACATACATACAATCGGAAAACTACAGCCCAAATAGCCAAATTCTTTTGTTCATAACTTTTTAATAAAGAGAGACTGTCACCTAAAACTTTATAAATGTTACTCAGGGACATGTCCTTGACAACATATGTAAAGGTCAAGGTCATCGACGAGATGTCCCTTAATTACCATGTCTTTTTAGTTACATTGCCGATAATAGAGTAAACAAAACTAAATGTTCTTAATGAGTCATTTGTCTAGCAGCCTATATTCATTAGATACATTAGATTCATTAGATTCATTAGATACGTATACATAAGTAATTATTTTTCATGTTCAAGTTAAGGAGTCCGTGGATCATAATAATATGAAATATGAAATAAAGCGCTGTTTGAGTTAACTCGGGCTCGCACAAATTTGCGAGTATCGCCTGCTTGAGTTACCTCGCACTTGCGCGTTAAGGAGTTAAGGAAGCGTCACACAAAACATTACTTTCCCATGTCGAATTGATTCCCTTACTGAGCTCTCCCACCACATAAAGATTTTGTAATATCTTCGCGGAATCACTCTGCATACATTCCGTCCAGTATTTTATCGTCGAAATGCGGAGCATTTACGATCTACCGCGCATGCGCTGTATTTTCGTTTTCGGAGTCGTCAGCCGTGCTATCAAATAAATCGTCATCGTTACAGCTGCCATTGACGTGCAGGTGATGTGGGTTAGCGCGAGGCGATATTTATCGATTTGTCAACAAATCGGCTATGTGACAAATATCTTCTCCCGCGCGTACGAGTGCGCGGATACTTTTACGACGACTGTACCGGTGTTCCGAGCTCGATAGGAGATGGCCTTATCTCCATTTACATGTATAAACGCGATTGGTTGCGCAGCACTGAGTAGGAAATTGCATCACAGCCGCGCCAAGGCTAGGACGTGATAAATTTAAAATTCTCGTTGCTACAAGAGCTCAAGTACTTCTTCTTTTTTTTTGCAGCGCATGCAGTTGCGCGAGCTTTTGCGCCCGAAAAGAGAATTAGTCGAGTAGCTTTCCGTTGATCCTCGCTAACTCTCAGGCACAGCACTGGGTTACGGTAGCCCAGGCCGTTCAGAGAATGCGTGGCATTCATAAACGACAAGAAGTAGGGAGTTGAGGTTTAGGGAGGAAAAAGTTCTCTACTACCAATCCCCGATCATAGCCGTAGGGTATCCCCATACTTCTTATATGACTTTATGATTTCTTTACTCCAAAATCACTTTCAACT